CATGTATGCATTCAGCAAATCATCTTTCTGTATGGGTACCATATCAGGAGGGCTTAAGGACACTAGTTGATGACGTCCTCTTAAACTTCTACAAAGATGTCTGGAAACAAGACTAAATATGCTTACTGAAAGTTTTGTTCTCTATATAAGATTATTCAAAAATTACCTGAACGAATTTCTTAATGTCATCATTTCTACTCCTTGTGCTTGAGCGACTTGTTTAGTATATCTATGCAGCAAACAAAGTGACAATAAAAGGAACAAAACAACTAAAATCAACCCACAGAAAAGTTGTATCACAACTCCAAGTATGTCAAATGCTCCTGGTGCAAAAGGAAATTCTGGTCCAGGATTTAATAAAACAAAGTAGTCGCTATAAGCAGGTATAACTAGACCTGGTTTGGAACCATACACTAAAAATAGAAAAGAAAAATAAGAACAATTTAAGTATTGATGTGAGAAATGTTTCAATATAGACATTTGAATTTTTATGTACACAATGCTAGTTATTATAACCATTTTCAAATTTAAGAGATAATTCATCTAACAAGAAACTGTAGATATATATATTTTAAAAATACTTCATTTAAAGAGAACTATCTATTTTCAAATTACATTTAACATTAAGTTATACAAAAAAAATACCCATAATTGTGATAATCACCCATGATTTCAACAAATCCTGAATAGTTACTCTGAGAATCAAGTTGCCCATCAAATATAATTGGAGGATGCAATTGCTCAGGGCCAAGATCTCTTCTTCGCCTCGACAAAAGCTTCAATGTTTTTTTATCCATTTCCATAGCAGGTACTGCAGTAGCAGTGAAATTCAGTGTTGGCACGGCTGCCAAAGATGGTATTATAGCAGGCACATCTTTTGTATCTTTTATTGTCAAAGATGGAATTGAATTAATTCTCTTTTGCTTCAATCCTATGCATTGTTGGCAAGCAGCCACACTTGAATTAACAGTTCGCCCATCGCCTAAAAATACTTCATTGTTCAGCATGTCGCTTGTGAACATTTCTGCTACATAAACACCTCCTGATGGATTCTTATGTACTGCTTCATAAGTTGATATTGACAAATCTTCAGGTCTAGGTAAATCAGATATTGTTTGATGATTTACCATACGAATGATAAATATTCTATAGCAGCATATGCGGCCATTTCTCTCTGACACTCTGGGTAGGTCTAACTTAAACATCCAGTTGCCATGTTCTTCAACCTTTCCCCAGCTCAATCTCAGAAAATCATCTTTATTTGGAATTGTAGGCGGCATGGTGCAGGTTTTTGTAGTCTTTTCACCTGGTTTTTTGGTCCTAGTTACACCGGCCACATGTACTGTGTAATTAGTGTTTGCAGGAATCATATCAAATCGTGCATTGTAGGATGTATCAGCTATGCTTTTCATCTTGGGTGTCAATGTTTCATTTGTTTGCAATCCGCGATTTGTTTTGTAAGTGGCATGACCTTCCAGAATCACATTATAGTGTGTGATTTTACCATTTTTATTTAATGGTGGTCCCCAGCTAACATTAACAAAAGTTAAATGACTAATGTTGTCAAAATGGCAAATAACAGTGACATTTTGTGGAGGACCCGAGAGACCATCCATAGTAGTCCCATTTACAATCTCAGACCAATTGCCACACAAATGTGTGTAATCACTACAAGCGCGAGCTTTAAAATAATACATTGTGGCCGTTTTCAGTTCTGCAAACATGTAAGGCAAGTTACGAGAATCTTCAGGTTGTAAAACTTCCTTCTTATCAGTTGAATTGTATTCTTGAGCGAGTAGTTCATAATAATGTATATGTTCCAGTAATTCTGTAGGTGGGGCAGTCCACCCAATCGTTATGGTATTAAACGTATTACCTTTTACCTCTATTTTAGGAATGAAATTAGGATCTTTTTTAAGAGTCCTTACAAGATGAGCATATTTATGATATTGCCCAATGCCTAGCTTGTTCGATGCAGCCATTTGCAACTTATATTCAGTATTTGGCTTTAAATTTTTTAATACAAATGAATAATTGCCTCCATGTATTTTTTCATTATAAAAAGTGTAAGACCCAGTGCCTTCTTCCATGTATTGAACAAAATATTCTATAACTGGATCATTCCCATCATTGAGAGTCCAATTCATATAGATTTTATCAGCACCAACCGCTTTGACAAAGTCTATGCTAACTTGTGGTTTTTCCAGCACCAGTACAATAACAGAATCATTATGAATGTGACCAAAGGCATCCTCTGCAATGCAATAATAGGAGCCATTATCCTTCCTACTAATTGCACCCAAATGTAAGGTCAAATTCGCCCTTGTTGCATTATTAACATAAGTAATGTTACTTTTTTCTTTCAGCAAAGATATTGTTGTAGAATCATTGCCCCTTAACCAATAAAATTTTCCAAATGGAAAACCTTCAAATAAACAATACAACATATGTTCACCATCAACATTTGATTTTAGCTTGTTAGATTTAGATACAGTAACTATTGGTGAGTAAACATCTAATGTTGCATGCTTCCTTAAAACTTGATCATCAATTGCAACTGTGCAAGTATAATTTCCCGAGTCAGCGTGGGTGATATTGTGGATGTGAAGGCTTGATGTTATAGAGTTTTCTTCAATTTCTTGTAGAAAGTTATACCTAAAAATGAATATTGATTGTAATGTGTATTTGAAACATTATTTTGATTCGTACATCACTTAAGACAACCTTTCATTATCAGATATGTTCACCCCATTGAATTCCCATGTAGGTGTAACATCCGGAGCATTGTATATGCAAACAATTGTCGAATTCAATCCTACTTTTACCGGTGTTACCGTAATTTTGACTGATTGAGTATATTCTGTGAATCAAAATGCAAGAGTAAGTATCTAAGGTAAAAGTTAGATTTTGGTTAAGTAATAAAATACTGAGAGCCCTCAATGAGTGCACTTACCCTCGCAACTTATTGTCGAAATATAAATTATTGATAGGATACATGGCAAAATATAAATAATGTTAAGGGCTGGGTCCTTAAACATGGCGTCAAATACACAAGCCGGTCTTTACTTATAATATATTAACTACGCAAAACATTATTTCGCATACGTTACGCACAAAGCTAATTATCCTACTTAATTAATTATACACATACGCAAATCACCAAAAATCATCTAAACTGACAATAAACACAAAAGCATATCAAACAACACACAAGCTACTCCTGTCACTTGACTGAGTATGACCATATATTGTTGTATGACACTTTGACACAGCTTTCGGTCATGAAATGTTACCAGATCTGATCCTTTATTATCCTTAAGGACACCACACACGAAATAGCGATGCGTTTCGGCGATCTTCGACCATGCGTGGGCCAGGCGTATTTTAAGGGGTAACTCCATTGATGTAAATTTTGATTTAATTCAAATACTTGTCAATCAGACAAAATCAATATTTTTACGTATTTTTTTGTTTCAGATTCAAACTTGCAGGTAGCTTGCTTTGCAAAAATGGCGATAATTGCGATTTTTAAATATTTTGTTACAAAAATAATGCTCATATGCTAAATAACTTTCTTTAATATTATAATTTTATTACCTTTCGTTCCACCCAATAAAATGATAAAAAAAAAAATTTTTAAGCTGGGTTAGTGGTGTGGAGCTTATTTTGCCAGCTTGTCAAAATATATTGCCCCCAAAGAATATATGAAATATATTTATGTCTTGCATTCGCACTTGTTAACTTCCCATAGGGTAAGTTATAGTAATCGCAAAAAAAAATCGAAAATGAAAAGTTTTATATATCTTTACGCACTCTTCTTTTATACTATTTTTTTATACTCTTCTTTTATCTATGTCTTTACGTTTCAGAGGTTTCTGAACACTATGGCTTACCTCAAAATGGATGTGTATGTGTGTATACATATTATGTATGTATGTTTGGATAGCATTTTTCGTCCACGATTTTGGGCGCACGAATCAACCGATTTGAATGATTCAAAAAACATTCGATTCCTATTGATAAGAAGACGTGCTGATTAGTTTTTGGTGAAGACAGGTCCAGCTGTTTCGAAGATACGGGGCAAAAAGTGCCAAAACGGTAATTCAGTTTTTGAGAGAACGAAGTACCCGATTTGAATGATTCAAAAAAGCATGTTACTTGCAATGACGAAATGAATAATTCGTGAAATTTTTGGTAAAGCAGGTCTAGGGGTTTCGGAGATACAGTGAAAAAAGTAAACAAAAAAGATCTTTGGCGGTCAAAAATTAACATTAGACATATCAACATCAAATTATCAGATTGATAAAGTTTTAAAAATACTAATTTTATTATAATATTGTTGGGTTCCGTACCAATTTTTAATTTTTAAAGTTTACTTATACGGTTCAAGCAAATTTCAAAATTTTCAGAATAAACATTATTTCAAATTTTTCAAGAATATACAAAGTTTTATACTTCAAATATGAATTTTAATTTTATAATTCAGTTTGAAAATGTATATATTTTAAATGCGTTATTCTAATTGTAAGAAATATATCCTCACGTGGATTCATTCGGCACCTCTTGCCAATGTAAACTTTCTCAAGTGTTTTGAACCGAATTGGATTTTCTAAACTTGTATTATAAATACTGAAAAAAGAATTAATGAACCATTTCATAAATTACTACAAAATATATTTTATATTATACTCTGCATTGACTTATATTTAATTATACTCTACATTTCTTGCAAATAACAATGAATATATTTTACTTACGATTATCAAACACTATCTTAAATAAATTAATTTTAAGAACACTGTGAAGTAGAATATCTCAAGTATGAAAAAATAATTCATTTTTTATATAAGATGTAAATTTATATTTCAATTATCCGAATTTTATTGAAAAATAGCCTTATCAAAACATTTACTAAATATATTGCTTATGGTCGTCAGTATTCTAAAGTAATACTGATATAATTGCTCATAATACAAATATAATATATTCAAGATTATTTTTCAAATCTTTTCGAATTGTAAATGAATTCCGCCTTTTGGTGCTAAAAACATTGCCTTAGAATCGAGCAGAAGTGGAACTCGCGTTTTCTCACAAGGTGTGAAATGGAAGTCCTTTAGTATGTATGCGAGACCAACTTTTGTCTGCAATAAGCCAAATCTTTCACCTGAATAGAAAAAACATTATTTTATTCTAAATTGTAAAATGAATACTTCAATATTAAATATTAAGTATATCATCGACTATGATATATTGCTAAAATTTAACTCAAGTTTAATTTTTATTTTATCCAGATTACCTATACAGTTATGTGGTCCTGCTCCAAAGGGCATATAAGTATATGGATTTCTATTTTGTTTCATATTTTCTGAAAATCTTTCGGGGTCAAATTTGTCTGGGTTTGGATAGTACTAAAATATAAATAATTTATATGTGTTTTATGTTGAAGCATTTATATAAAGAAATGGTAAAACATGATTTCAACACTAATGAAAAACTAATTCGATATGTATAATTTATGTTCAAAATTTACCTTTGGATCCATATGTATTGCAAGAATTGAAAGATATATTGGCGTCTTAGGCTCCAAAACTACGTGATCATAAGGAGGAGGGAGTCGATATCTCGATGTACACATTCGATCCAAAAATGGGAGAGTAGGGTATTTTCTCAATGTTTCTATTTAATAAATATAAATAATGTACATAATATAAAAAACATATTGAGGATTTTGTCCAAAATATTACCGCTAAGCACCATGTCCAAGTATTTCATTTCTTTTATAGCTTCATATGTTATACCGCCATGTTCATTAATTTTTTCTAAAATTTCCGCCCGTAGTCGATGTTGAATTTTAGGCTGCAAAGCTATTTCATACAATGTGAATGACATTGCACCTGATGATGCTTCGTAACCTGCCGCAAAAAATACAGCTGCCTGAGCTACTAATGTATCACCTTCAAATTCTATAAAAAAACAAGTCATGTTTACCTTGCTGTAAAGATTTATTGCAATAAAATTTTATATATACTTAGTGAACCAGATGCTGCTTCATTATTTTTAAGATCTATTAGCATATCAACCAGATCATGTCTAGATGTACCAGACTTTATGCGTTCGCCCAACACTTCGTTAAACGATTGACGCAAAAATTTTGTGCCATATTTCTCAAACAACTTAAATCCAAGAATGCTTACTACTTCTGGAAAAAAGAAAAATGCACTAATTTCTATCGCACGCTTATATTCAGCGGCAAAAATCCTTTTCCCCACGGTGCGAAATTCAGCATCTGGATTTTTAAACGAATTAGCTTGAATTCCAAAAGCACAAGAAGTTATTACATCTGTCGTATACTTTGCACACAAATCCCGCATATTGTCTATATTTCTATTTTTTAATGTTGTATTTATAAACTCGTTAAATTCTTCTCCTATTTGTGTTATTAATGGAAACATACTTTTCATTTTTGCGGTTGAAAAAATAGGCGTCAATTTTACTCGCATTTCTTTCCATAAAGGATTTTTAATTCTGAATAAATTTCTTGATCCTAGAGCATCAGTGTGGCCATCAGTTGAAGAGACACGATCTTGGAACATGTTGAAATCCTTGACCAAAATTGATTTGATCCAAGATGGATCTCGTATGAATAAAGAAGGTCTGTGAAACACAAAAATACCAAGAATTGGTTCTTGCGTTTTTTTGTAAAACGACATTACGAATTCTCCTGGACTGTTTTTCATTAAAACAAAATCCTTGAAGTTTCCGACAAATGGTAAAGGCCATAAGGTAGGAACTTTTCTCGAAGACCAATACAAAGCATGGTTCACATAATAATAAATTGATATACCGATTAATGTTAATAATAATAAAAGTGAACTGTAGATATTAAAATCCATTGATTCCATATTCGAAGTTTGTAATTCACTTGCACTTGCAATATTGAATTTAGTAATTTTGTCACTCATTTATAGATAATTTACTATTCATAATATCTTATCTAATCTTTGTTTATAATGTCCGGCTTATTATAAGTTGCTGATTTTGCAAGTAATTACTGCAGATTCTTATCAGTAGTGTTCTCATCAAAATCAAATTTACAACTAAATAAGAAATACAATGTCATAAGCCTTTCTCCATCGTTGGAGTCGTTGTGACGCACATGCTTCAGTGCATCATAAATGATTGCATTCGTTCTATATTGCATACACGATTCTTTTTTATTTTCTGTACCAAATTACAATCCGTCTTTTACGAAAAAAATAAGCAATGTTGATGCTAAATGTAAATCATCAATCTAAAGTTCTGATAGCATACCCAGCAGTATTTTTTTTTCAAATTTGATAAATCAAATTAAATTTTGCAATTATATGAAGAGAAATTGAAATTCCAGCAAAATTTGTTGAAGATATGTGATAACTTATCCTTCACTTTCACTAGATGTATAATTAGTTTTTCTAATAAAGAAGTTTAATAATCAGTTTAATCTAAATATTTTACATTTTTGATTGCATCATTTAACAAACTCTTAATTACATTACATTAGGTATAAATATTTTATAAAAGTAATATTTTGAAATTTATTTCCACTTAAATCTTCTTCGTTTTCGTCCTGCTTGTGGTTCTAGTATAACTTTACCAGTGCTATTATCAAGGCTATCGATAACTTGGGCTAAGTATTGACAATTACTATTAAGTCCAAAAAGTTCAATACTTGTTCTCTAAAAACGAACAAATATTTTAGACCTGAATTGTTTAAATAAGAAAAAATATTGAAAAATTACCGCAGTACTATGTAAAACAAAGTGTGTCTCCGATTTTCTGCTACACTTCTGTTTGTATACTTTCACAAAGTATCTGAAATTAATAGTGGAAATATAGTATCAATATTTCTATGTGCATTATTAATCTAATCTAGATTTTGATTTGCAATTTACTTACTTGGTTTGTTGGTCATCATTTCTTTTGTTCCAGTTTATAGTCGCATATACTTTTCCATTTTTGTGATAATATTTTGTTTTTAAAATTAAACGCTTTTTTCCTTCAGGTATAATTTTGATGGTTGAATCGAATGTAGTGTTTAGCGTTTTTGAAGCTTTTTCACCTTTAATTTTTAATTTGTCAAATTGAGACATAGCTTGGACTTGCAGAAAGTATTGTGAATCAGGATGTAAATTTATTAATTGGACGCTTGTTTGATCCTATACAATGAAACATAATGAATGGAAAAATAACTTAATAAGGAATTATGATATGAGATAGACTTATTTCTTCTATAAAATTATGAGAAATATCTTAAATTAAATTGTATGTAGGTAATATCAAATATGTGTATCCTCATACAAAGCGTTGTTAACCCTCCGTCGGTCGGCGTGGTCTGGCCAGACTTTTCTCGACTTCAATTAAAAAAAAAACTTCTAGTAATCCTATCGACTTGAAATTTCTTGACTTTTCCTAAAATTTCATTAGCTGTCGATCAATAAAAAAATCAGGACAAAAAATGTACAGAAGGATAATTATAAGGATATTAACTTTTTTATACTTCGAACGATCGGAAAGGTCTATCTAGACCACCCATACTTGTATGAAATATACGCTTTTTGACATATGTAAACCAGTATTTTGTCTTTTTTCATGGTATTTTCTATTCAAACTACGTTGTATATATTCTTTGCTATGTGTTGTAACATGAATGTTAGTATTTTCATGACGAGAGTTCCTTGAAAACCTACCAAACTTATTGGTAATCGCAAACACTGAAAATCGGATGAGTAATGCACACATTATCAAAAAATTTTCTACCCGTACTGCGTTCGAAATTTTTTTTTTTGGCAAACCTTTAGTGAAATTATATTATCACTTTGAGTTTTACAGCTCATTTCAAAGGCGACGCACCTCATTTCGTTTTCATTTGAATTTCACATTCATTCAAAAGGCGCCGAAAAAGAATTAATATTGTTTTTCATTGATATAAAACAGAAAAAATAACAAAAAAAGCAACGATTTTTTTATATTTCTTGATTTTTTTTATATAATATAATATGTAATATTTTTATTAAAAGCAAGCTCAACACATGCAAAAGACGTTAAAAAAAAGAAAAAATCTGAACTATAAATATTTACTACTAATAATCGTTAATATATAAGACACCAAAAACTCATTTATCCCATATAAATGAATGTAAAATGAATGGTGGTCCAGCCAGACCTTTCCGACCGTTCGAAGGTGAAAAAATATCCGACCGACGGAGGGTTAAGGTAATAATTTGATTTACTTAATTTTCTTCACCACTTAACAACGAAAGATTACTATCAAGTTCTGATAAAAATTAAAACAATACCTTATAAAATGTATCCACTTATGAAAAATGAATAGTAATAAAATAGTAAGAATGAAAAACTTTATCGTAATGAAATTTTTTACGAATTATGAAAGTCATGATGATAAATCAAAATACTTAAATAAAATATTTCAAAATAGTGATAAATTTATCACATAATTAATACTTGACCTGTGGGACGATTAGCGAAGATACGAGCACGGAGTCGAGGTGCGCCTGCACACCAGGCAGTCGCCGACTCCAGTAAACTTTGTATTTGTCTATCGGCAGGTCCGCAACACGCGGCGGGCGCCACGAGAAGGTCAATTCTAGCATGCCACCCGCCGTGTTTTGCAACCTCAATGGACCAGTTCGCAGATCTTGCGGGGCTCGAGGAGGTCTAGGCACTTTATTAATTTCGATTAATACTTGACTAGTAGAATTAGGCATTATGGGAAATTACTACAACTTATGAACAAATATGAGAGAACTAAAATTAAAATTTGATTATTAAATTATGAAAAAATTGAAATTTTTGGTAGATTAGGACATTTAGAAATTTCGAGTTTTTTTTTGAAAAAAAAAAATAGAAAACTTTCAAAAATTTGCATATATATTTATGTCTTCACAAATCCAAATGATTTGTGCGTTGTTCTGCAATTTTGAAATTACTTGACTTGCTCAAAACGAATGGGGTCTGGATAAAGTTCTCTGAATCATTGCCTTTAATGCCAATGTAACAAAAAGTCTTAAAACATTATTAACTTCCCGAACGAGAAGTTTGTTTTCATCAAAAAATCCAATTCGCTAATTTTATGTTTTCACGACATTTCAAGCCATTCTAAATCGAATGAGACCAAATTAGGAAAAAGTATGTGTATAAGTGTGTAAATCGAATGCCTTTTAAAATTTAAAAGGCATTCGATGTATCTCGATGAAGACTAGCGTTTATCAGTTTTGCGCGACAATCGGCCGAGCCGTTTCTTTGTAAATAGCAAAAAAGTGAAAAAAAAATCGTCCACGTTTCAGCCCGCAATTCTGAATCGATTTTAAAAATTCAAAAACCGTTCGAAAGATATTGGTTAGGAATAATGCTGATTAGTTTTTGGTAAAGATCGGCCGGGCCTTTTTCTTGTAATAAAGTGGTAAAAATTTTTTTTTCGGCAATTTTTATGATTTTTTTTTGTGACGGTAGATACCATAGTCTTCTAGATCATACTAAAATATTACATTCAAATTGATTAGTATCAATTTTTTGGAGTTTGTCAAAATTAAAACTTTCATCGACGTTTGCTTAAAAACGCTGAACCGATTTCAAAAATTTAAAAGCCAATCAATGTATTTCGATGTGGATTATCTTTTCTCAGTTTCGTGCGACGATCGGCAGAGCCGTTTCTTTGTAAATAGCAGAAAAGTGAAAAAATTTTCGTCCACGTTTTAGCTCTCAATTCTGAATCAATTTTACAAAAACAAACTTTTCGAAATATATTAGTTAGGAATGATACTGATTAGTTTTAGGTAGAAATCTAACTTCCCTTTTTTTTAAATCAACTGTTGAAAAAATTTTTTTTGCCGATTTGTATGAACCTTTTTTTGGAAATAGATATCATGGTCTTATGAACCATACTAAAATGTTACGACACTACAAATAGTTTAATGTTAAAAATCCATCAAAGTTTGAGAAAATATTATAGTCAAAATTTGTGTCAAAAGTTGCTTTTGTGATGTGATGAGTCAAACATTATCAAATCATTAAAATTGGAAATAATAAGCTACAACTTTAGGGCATACTAGCACGTGTCTGTACAATATAATTATTAACATAATTACCGTTAATTTAAAGCTGTTTGAGAAAATACTATTCGAAGTCGCAATGTTTAGATTTAATTGAAAGCGATAACTTTATTTTTAAATAAAAAGTTGAAAATTTTATCTAAATATCTGAATTTTAATTTCGATTGATTAAGACAATTTTCACATATTTCGGGAAGTTCATGCAGTTTGCCTTAAGACTAAACGCCACTTTCAACTAGTTTTATATTATTTGAACAAGAATCAGAACTCGAGGAAGGATCTATGAGCTGTTGTGAAGATTTTCTTAACTAAGTCGGTTTTTATATAAAGCAACCCAAACAGTTGTCTATTTGATGAATTTTTATTATTACAATATCTGTAATAGTGATGAATTATTGATTCAGCATTGCCTGGTATGAGCTATTTTCACTTGAAAACATATTGAAATCTATATTTCCAAGTAAAAGACCTATGATCTCTGAGTCGAACTTCTAATCTGTAACCTCTTGCCCATGGGCCGGTAATATTAAACATATGTACAGAAGTTTTTACTTTTTTCACAATTTTTATAGCTTATCTTACATATGTAGTATTCGGTAATATATTAAGATACACAAAAAAGTTATAATATTTAAATACAATTGTACTCCAATATTGATGAAATCTAAGTATATTGACACGGGTAATTTTTTGAAGTATTTGTTCATAAATGGATGGAAATAAAAAATATTGGGTATGTACTTAGATTCAACTTACATCTGGTTTTAAAAGGACTTGTTGGACTCGAAAAACCTTTAGTTCCATTCTCGTTAAAAGCGGCTACACGAAATTGATACCAGCGACCAGGTTTCATAATCGAATCTCTTGTAAATGTAAGTAGAGTGCTGGCAAATTAAATTAAAGTAAGTAAATCAATGAAATCAAATAATTCTCTTACTTTTCGTATTTCGTTCTACATATGCTGTTTTATAAAAATTGATTGCTTGCTTTCACATACGTTATCATCATAAATTTTAATTCATTTTGTATATATCATACAGATTTATTTTAATCTACTTATCCTTCACCGTTTGGTCCTCTTTCGTGTTTGCCATTCTCCCAATCTGTTTTTAATGAATTTGGAGCCGATATGATGCCTTTCCTGCAGTACATAAATTATTTTTTGATGTGTTGCATCTGTGTTCCACCATATAGTGATATTTTTGCTTCCTTTTTTGTGTACTGTGATATTGGTTGGAATATTCGGCAGGACTAAGAAGAAAACAATTATTAAAAAATAATTATTCTGTAACTTGTTAAAAGTTTAGAAGTATATATTACTAAGCATCCTCTTACATTGAATTTGTGACAATCCAATTGGTTGTCTACAAATACTTCCACAGTGATGGGTGCAGCACATGCTAATTCCAAAACACTGAGAATCCAATGTGCAAGATTTCACACATGGTGTATCCAGGAGTGATTCCCTGCTCGCAGGGCATGTTCCAAATTTGGGCAAATCCAAGTTTAAGCATAATTTCACACAATTGTCATACTATAATTGGAGCAATCAATGGCAATTAGAAAGAAAAAATTATATTTTTTACATCACAGTACCCTGCAGGATATAAGGACACATCATATTTTTGAATTTTATGTGGTTAAATTAATTTGATGTATTATGAATAAATCTATTGAAACTTAATGTTAAAAATAATTAAGAAATAATTCGTTTATTGTTATCTATTATTTGGGATGCTTTTAGCAGAACTGATTATAGTTCAAATTGGATCACGATTGTAACTAAGCAGGTTACTTAGTTCCAATCGTGATCCAATATATTTCTTACTTCTTGCCTAGTTCTTATATTTTTGAAGATTTTGGGTATTTTTATAAATGTGTGATGCGCATATATATACAATTTTTATAATATAGAAAAATACATTTGAAAGAATGAGGTATATCTTGATAAATCGCTACATAGATGATTTTACAGAAATATTCAAAAAAAGCAATGTATGAAGGATGAAATGATGAACTGATTTATGCTATTTGTTTTCTCATTGATTAATAATCAGAATCAGATGTGTTCTATAAACTTATTCTTGGTTTACTATTTTTACGAATACTAATAAAAGGTCATCCAATGAGTGTCCAATTGAGATATACATATTATATTTATTCAATTCTGAACGCCATTATAAAGCAATCCAAATAACAATTCTTTATAAATGTGATATTGCGAAAAGGTCCTGGAAGGCTATTATTTACTTGAAATCGCATTTATTATTAAATAATTATAAATATTTTTCAAGTAAAAACATAGGTTGTCTAACAAGGGAACCCTCAGGTTTACTCTTCTGGGATTTTGATGAAACTTTGCATGGTGATAGAGTTGATAGTCAACCCGAGTCTCATAAAATATTATAGGTCTATGAGAAATGGTTTAATCTGGAACCATGTGATTGAGACGACTCTATGAATCAACTTTTGAACTAATATACAAAATTTCAAATAAATCATTCTTAAAGTTTTTGGTTTTGTGCATTTATTTCAATCAGAGTTAACGATAAGGTAACTCTGAATAATGTATATATTTTTTTCAATATTTACAAATTAGTGCCTGCATAAAAAAATATTGAACGTCGAAATAATTAGATAAATTGAATTTTAATATCGGCTTTGAACGATTGATTTATAGATGTAAGAAGCCGACTTTATTGTATCAGTGAAGCGAACATAATTAATAACCAGTGGATAACGAGAATTGCATTTTTAACATCGAAGTTTCTCCTTAAGGGTTTCTTAATATTCACCTTTGGAATTTTATTTGCAAAGTCACTTTCAACACACACACACACATATATATACATATATATATATATATATATATATATATATATATATGCATATTAATATATACTTAGTTTATTTTTACATTTTTGAACGTGGCGCGCGACTGCCAGAAATGACTATTTTCAAATCATTGACAAAAACGTCATTCTTCTTAAAAGAAATTGTGAATAAATAAATAAAAAAATTAAGTCATTCGATGTATCTCGATGAGGACTATTGTTCGTCAGTTTTGTGCGACGATCGACCAAGCCGTTTCTTTGTAAATAGCAGAAAAGTAAAATTTTTCGTTTACGTTTTAGCCCGCAATTCTGATCCGATTTTAAAAATTCAAAAACCGTTTGAAAGATATTGGCTGGGAATAATCGATCTGCTTAATTTTTGGTAAAGATCGGACGGGCCGTTTTCTTGTAATAAAGTGTTAAAAAAATTTTTTTCGACGATTTTTGATTTTTTTTTTTACGGTAGATACCATAGTCTTATAAATCATACTAAAATATTACGGTTCTGCGACAAGTCCTTTAACTTCAAAAATTTGTTAAAGTTTACAAAAATTAGTATCGTTTTTTTGGCATTTGTCAAAATTAGACTCCACGTTTGCTCAAAAACGCCTGAACCGATTTCAGAAATTTGAAAGTCATTTGATGTATCTCAATGAGGACTATCGTTCGTCAATTTTATTCGACGATCTGCCAAGCCGTTTCTTTGTCATTTGAAAAAAAGTGTTAAACTTTTCGTCGACATTTAAGCTCATACTACCGAATCGATTTTAAAAAATCAAAAACTGTTCGAAAGATATTAGTTGGGAATGATACTGGTTAGTTTTAGGTGAAAATCTACCGAGCTCTTTTCTTGTAATTAACTGTTAAAAAGAAAATTTAAGCCGATTTTTATGGTACCCTTTTCGCAATATATATCATGGTCTTATAGAACTTACTAAAATATTACGGCTTTACGACAAGTAGTTTAATTTTAAAAATTCATCAATGTTTGAGAAAATAAGTAGTTTTTTGACGTTTGTTGAAATTAAAATTAGACGATTTACTTGGTCTTAATAAAAATACTAAACCATTGAAGTCCTACAGAAACTGGTTCAATTATAAAAATGATTGATTTTTCAAAATTTGCTTTTAGAAATTACTCCGAGTTTTAACGTGTTCGTTCGTTTTCAATCATGTGTAATAAATCCACTTGGAATACTTTTAATCATTCATAAATTAATTTATTTTTTATTGATTAAGTCAATTATTTAAACTCATCGGGAAGTTCATGTAACTTGCCTCAAGGCAAAATACCAATACCAACTAGTTTATGATAATCTATTCGAAAACATTTAATATTCTTTGAACATTTTGTTACGGTACGGAAAGTTCTAGCAATTTGCCTTAAGGCACGATGCCATACACCACAATTATTTACATTTTTTACAAATATTTTACTAACAAACTTTTGAATTTGGCGCGCAACTGTCAAAACTGTCTATCTTCATGTCAGTGACAGAAATGTCATTCTTCAAGCAAACATTACCATAATTTCACACTGATCATTGACAAACATCGTTTTTATAATAAACATATTTTAAAAGTTTCAATTTGTCGTTAAAATGGAATTGTCATACATTCAAATCTCTTTTAGTGTTGTGCATTTAAGGTCTAGTTTTGGACATAAAGTTTATTGTAAGTACAAGTTTCTGTTTTGCAACATAGTTTGCTAGGTTAAGTGATTTTATTTTGCAATTTTGCTAACAATTACGATTTTAATTTATTTTAATATAATTATGTTCCAACCAGTTATACCTCTATTCATTTCCCATGGGCGAAGAAAGAATAATCAAATTGAATCTTTCTATAAAAGTAAATAAATCATCGTGGTCCATGTGGTCCATCGTAGTAACATGGTGTACCAAAAGTTCGTTTAATTTTGAACCAGCGGCATTATTGAAAAGTTATTGTTAAAACAATTACGTATCACATATAGTTTACGTAATAAAAATAGATTTTCTATTTTGGTATTTTTGTAATTAATACAATTTTTTTTATCTAATTTATAATTTTTTGAATTCAGTTTCAGAAATATATAAAAAAAAAATTATGGCCCACTCTATATTTTTCCAACAACTTATATAAGGAGGCGTCCATTAATCATGTGAGGTTTTTAAGGGGCACAACTTACCATATTTCGATAGGTTGTACCTTTAAAAATAACATACCAAAATTTTAAATCGATATCTTAAATAGTTTTTGAATTTGTTGCAGCGATTACTCAAAAACAAATGATCCGATCACTATCGAATTTTTTTTGCATGTTCTATATATAGTTCTCCGTAAAATGAACTATCGATTTTTTGATCGGATCAAAAATCTAATTTTGGCAGTCCAAAAATGACCAAAATTTAGGGTAAAATTCGACTTTTTTAAAAAAAAAAACGCCGTCATTTTGTCAATTTTTTATTTTTTTTCTTTATCGTAGTTCATTTTACAGACAATATTGTATAGTTTAACGAGAATTTTTTTGAAATTTCATCTACGTAGAAGGCCGGAATCACTGCAGCAGTGAAGGGCCTTTTTTTGTCGCGTCGTTGGAGATCGACGATAACTTAAAAAATATTCAATTTTTTTCTTCAAAATTTTTATTATGTATTCTTAAAACATGTATAAATATATTCTTAAAATTTTGAAATGATGGATAAAGTAGTTGTTCTAATATAAATTCCCAAAAATCACCTTTTTTTAGGCGGTTACACTAGTTGTGCTCCTTAAGGGGAGGGGGGTTTGACAAAAAATCACGAAATATCACGTGGCGGAGGGAGGAGTATAATGAGATATCACTCGTTTTTATTTTTTAATTTATTTTTTCAAAACATTTTCAAAGAAAATCAAATTTTACACTTTTCACATAAATAAAAAGGCACGTGATGTTTGGTGGAGGAGGGGGGGTCTAAAAATCTTTAAAAAGTCGCTCACGTGATTAATGGACGCCCCTTAATTACTTGTTCAGATTTTGGAAAATAATTTTTGTATCAATACTAAATGTTTTAATTTTTCATTAAACGTTTTTGTTGTGTTGTTCTGGCAGCGAAATTTGAGATACCCAGCTGTAAGTCTGTAAATACTTGTATATTGACACCCCAAAGTTGTCTCAAAACCTACATATGGTAGCGTGTCATATGTAGGTTTTGAGACAACTTTAGAGTGTCAATATATAAGTATTTACAAACATACAGCTGGGTGTCTCGAATTTAGAGATTCTTACCTAATTTAACCTCAAATGACTGAAATATTGTAAATACATTTAAAAATCATTGTTGCGCAATTTTTCTAGCAATATAGATTTATCAATACTCAACTGATAATAACCAATATATTACATTTGTCAGGCTATAAATTAATATCCAATATTATATAATATACATAAATGTTTTTTTATTCATTTTTGTATATAATTTCAATATTTTTCTTTTATTTTTGAAAATAGCGTTCTGTACGCATCGCTTCTAACAGCATTGCGCCCCACAGGTTGGAAACCACGGAACTATTGGTTTATGCAAAGATCGTTTTCAACAATAAATGAGCTACAAATCATACCGAAAAATAAATCAAACAAGCTTGAAATAAATCATTTCGAATTGTGAAGGCGGAGACTTTTTTATGGTCATTCAACACGCTGAGTTTAATTTCTGACAATGCTTTTGAGTCCAAATTT